CTTTCTTTCTTTTGGAAATGGAGTAAATTATGAAGCAGATTGACTTTAAAAATAAATAGAACTATAAATACACAAAAGTCATTGCCTTCCTCCAGTAATTTAATACGAGCATCTTACTCTGAAGTAAGGAAAAGTTTAGTTCACTCACAGAAAGAATAAAGCAGATGTGAGGTTTTTCCGTCAGCTTAAGTGCTGCCTCGGTAAGGTGAGTTGTCCGACTACATAAAACAAACATTTTAGTCAGGCATCACACAGGAAAATAAACAGTAGCAGAGGAAACATGAAAATATTAAGGACTGTTATTCTTTGGCCCCTTTTCCTGCGAAGCAGGTGATAAAATATTACTGTGTTTCCACAGGTAAGGAAACACGCTCTTAAACACTTTGCAGAAACACACATTACGATCATCACTTAAAATGTCAGCAGTGGACAGGACTCAGCTGTGACAGCACACAGGAGCCTGCTGAGAAACTCTGCAGAAGCAAAGGATTGAACATGCCTGGTCAGACTGCAGGGCTACCTAAAGCAGCCTTCTGACCCTTGGCAATACTTGCCTGCAGCAAATTCTGATACAGACAAAAACCACCTTGTAAGAGATGTCTGTAGAGTGAACTGATTTCAGGAAAGATGACTCCTCTTGCATCTTAATTAGTTAGATTTTAGTGAGAGGGAGGGAGATTATCTGGTGTTATCATTTTGACTTCTTTCTGCCCCACTGGATATCAAAGAATGAACACAGGGATGTAACGTGGCCATCCTGTATAGTCAACAGGGAGAAGCAGCTACTGCTGGGAGACAAGCCCCAATACCTCAGTTGGAACTCTCACTTCCCATACAATCCTGTGGGTGTAAGTGTGGAGTACCTGAAGCTGCCTTAGAATCATACTATCAGAATCACAGGATGATTTGGGTTGGAAGGGACCTTAAAGATCATCTAGTTCCACCCCCTCTGCATGGGCAGGGACACCTCCCACCAGCCCAGGTTGCTCCAAGCCCCATCCAACCTGCCCTTCAACACTGCCAGGGATGGGGCTTCCACAACTTCCCTGGGCAACCTGGGCCAGTGTCTCACCATCCACCCACTCAGTAAAGAATTTCTTCCTAGTACCTAATCTAAATCTACCCTCTTTCAATTAAGACTTTTTTTCTCTGTAAAATGAGGCAAATGTTACACTCCACAAGAAACATGAAAGTCTCCACAGGTAGAACAAGATAAAATTTGAATCCAGTTTAATCTTAGTTCCTTGTCTTCTTACATCTCCTGGATGCTTCAAGTAAATGAGAAATCTCCTGTCCCCAGGCTGCATTCGTGTGACAGCCTAAACCCACCTGAAACCCTTGTTTCAGGTTTCTGAGCCCCCTCCTTCCCAACCTGCCTGAATCGCACAAAGCAAACCTCCCCCTGCCCCACGCTGCCATGCTCCCCAAATAGGTTACACAAACAGGGAAGTCACAGGTTCAAGATCACAAAGGACACGCTGTGTTCGGGCCAGTTGGAGGCTTTTCTTGCTATTGTGCTTATCTGGATCTTCCCTGTCATCCAGACTTTAACCCCTGACCCGCGCGCCCACCTCTCGCTGAAGGCTCCGCGGTGTTTACCCATGATGTCATGTCTGTGCTTTTGTGGAAACTTCACAGAAACAAACGGAGGAAGTTTGCCAGTCAAACGGCTGGGCCATAAATCCTGTCCCGTGTAGATAGAAGGGTTTACTGTCACTGGAAGTCTGCTACTGGCATCTGTCACCAAAGAACTGTTTACAAATTTCAACAGGCTGGAGTACCAAAGGATTCCAGCACTGCAGGACTGAACGTGAGTTGTGGAATAACCACCAGTGTGCTAGATAGGGGTGTCCTTGTTTTGCTAACCTGAATAAACAGAGTCACGATGTTTCCGATAACTCAAGGTCATTAATGGCCAATTTTTCTGTCAAATTCACCTCCTAGGCTCATGAGTACAAGCAGCCAAATGCTCGTTTGCTCATTGTAAAGCTTATTCCTTCCTAAGGTATCTTTGCTAGAATTTTAATCCAGGTAGGCAAACTGCTTTTGGGCTCCTTTGCTTATTTCTAATAGGTCCTTTTTTATTTACACACTTCCTATCCTTCCTTACAATCACTTTTCTTTACAGTCCCTGCTGTGTCTCCTCTTTCTGCACTACTTTGGGACAAGACATGGTATGATGTTGCCCTTCTGCACAGTGTCAGGGCAATTAATGCCTTCTGCTGTGTGAATGAACCTTCTACGTACCGTGAACTGTAAAGTTAAGGCAACAGAAAGATGAGTTTGGATAAGCAGCAGCAGCAAACAATATGAAACAGTGGGACAGATAGGTAATATAACTCTTTACTGACTCTTTCAACCAAGGGCCTGATTCTGCTGCCACTGAATGCAGCTTTTCACTCTCAATGTCAACAGGAGCAGCACTTGGTCCTAGAGTTCCACTTTAATTAAGTTTTCAAATCTCATTTCCTTTCAGAGGAGAGAAAACATTATTGTGACTAAGCTTTGGATGTGGTAACAAACTCCTGGCAGGTTGGTTTATTTTAACGGACGTATTAGTTTTAAGGAAACTTTTACCATCTTTTCTGCCTTTAATCACAGCTTTTATTACAATTACAGTAATGCAACAGATGTACATGCCAAAGGCAATATGTGTATTTTTAATGAGTTGAAATGCAACCTTCCTGGAGAGGAGAAAAAACTTCATTTGCTGAGCGTTTCTGAACCGTATTATTAAGGGACAAGGAAACAATCAGAAGAACATTTACCACAAATTCAGAGTCTTCAGTAACTCACAGAGGAGCAGTCCCATAAGCCAGACTCGGTTGCTCTGCTAGGTTTAGCAAATTCCTGCT